CAATCTTCTCCTCCTTTCCTTAGATAGAGTGCACCAAAGGAAAACAAGACACTCCCACAAAAATCCGTTTTACTTGCTGATAAAAGCAAAAAACCCGATAATTTATGTCATCAAAACTGTAAATGTTAATGTGGAGAAAACCTACTTGTATTCCGCGAGCTTGTTTGACCTTATCCAGTTGCGAGCGCCGAAAAACTCCTACCAAACTAAACTAAAATAATTCATGTTGAATTCGTTTATTAACTTACTTACTTACTTACCTTATCCGTCCTCTTGTACCTCTAGGGCGTCGAGGGGAGAAAGAGCTTCCTGTCTCTAGCAAGTTTGATGGCCTGGCTGGGTGGGATATTGAATGTTTTCAGGGAGTCCTTCACACCCTGGATCCAGGTCTTTCTTGTTCTTCCTCTTGCTTTGTACCCTGACACTTTCCTGTAGAGTAGTCTTTACTGGCAAGCTGGTTAGGTGGGTGCCGTACGTGTAAGATGCCCAAACCACCCGATTGTTTGCCTTCGGATGTAGTGGGGGACAGGTGTTGTTCCCACAATTTCTCTGATCTTGGTTTTTCTGATCATGCCACGTCTGGTTTTGTTGACGGCTCTCCTTAGACATCTCATCTTGCAGGTGGTTACCTTACGTTCCAGACTTTTGGTCAGGGTCCATGTCTGGCACTGGTAGGTCAAGGTGGGGATGGAGATGGAGATGAATTCGTTTACAGCCCACTAAAACTCTGCAAGATTATCAAGGAGCTTAGAACTAAGAAGGTTATTCACCTCTTCCCGAATCATGCAAGGTTGTTAATGATGAAATTGCCTTCCTTTTCTCTTTAACAGATGTGCTTTCAGAGTTTCGCAGCTGTAGAGGAGCACAGACTTGACGTTGGAATTTAAGTCGAATTTTGGTGCGCTGTCAAATGTTGCTTGCTTTCAAGACATTTGATAACTGATTGAATGGCAACCTTGCCATGTAAAAAGTATACAACTTATTTTATAGAAGTGGGGAAAAAAGGTTTCTTTTTCCGCTCCGCGCATTCTCCCCCCCCC